CTGCTTGGGATTGTGCTCATTTGCTGTAAGTCCATCCACCGTGGAGACTCTAAGCAGACACCCAGGGGCCCAATAGATATTTGTTGCCTGTGAGTGGCCGAGCAACCTTGTTGGGCCCTTTAAGTTCCCTGATAAGTAGTAGTAGGCTTCCCAGTAGACCGAGGCAGCTCGCAGGTACCGCAGTCCCAGGACAGCCACCTGCCCTCAGGAAAGGAAGGGCCACCCACGTGTCACTGCAGCCCTGGTATTGTCACAACCAGCTTCGCCTTGTCCACAAGAGGCACCAGAGAGTGCGATGAGGCAAAAGCAAGGATTCCAAACACGACTGACTTTCAGGCTCCGTTAAACCATATGGCCTGCCTGGTTGCCTTGTTTATAAAGAACAGTTTTCCATTTAAAAATGACAATTAATAGAATCCAAGCTGTTCTGGCCGATTTGCGGGGGAGGGGGGGCGGGCGTGGACTTGCCTTTACGGTGTGCTTAGAGCACCCCCTAGTGGCAGCGACAGGTGTTAGCATTTGACATATTTTGGGCCTGGAAAAACCACCAGGGGACGTCAGGAAGGCCACACACTGAAACCTCTAACTTCCTGTTGACTGGAGCTTGGGATAGAGATCATGGGTAGAAATATACCATTTTTTATTAAACTTCAATCCCCATACTAGCTCAGAGCTCAGAGTATAATATTTAGTAAATATTGGTTGCCCGAATGAATAAATTGATATATAAACTCCGTCATTACCCCAAAAATGATAGTTGAAGCTGTAATTTAAAATGAGATCTAAGAAGAATACAGGTGGAAGAGACAGCAAATAACTAAATTATGAAAAATATGGAAAAGAGTCACATTTGTGAGGCAGGAAGAAGACTGAGTCATCAAGAAAAGAAAGAGTTGGGATTATGGAAATACAGGACTGTTTGGAGGGCAATGGGTAGCAGGCTTTCAAGGAGTATGTGACACACGTATTAATATAGAGGGCATGTATAATTTGTACATAAGCATATAGGATCTACACACACATACATTTTATCTATTTATAGATGTATTTCATACATAAAAGCAGTCAACTGCATACATGCCACTGTTTTGGAGGCATCTGAATTGGAATGTTTCTTGGCTGCCGAAAGGGAACACATAATGCTCCTGATGCCCTAAATAATAGAGTATATATAGCCTTCAGGAGCCTGTGAATACCAGGAATTTGAGGAGTGCCATTCATAATCGGAGGCGTTGCCTACTTGCTCAGTGTTTGGACGTCTCTCTTCTAAACAGCAACTTCACTGCTTTGCCTTATCTGTACTCCCATAATGTAGGTGAAGTCATTTTCTCCTGGAAAATAGCCCAAATGTCTTGTATGCAGTGCAATAAAACCTCCAGTAAGCCGAGAAACAAATGATGCAAAGTGGGTTTGAAGTTGGAAGAGGATTTTCAGCTCTTTTAAGAAATGCTCTCTCCAGCAGAAACATTAATATCTGTCTTAAATTAAGGGCACAGAAGAAAGGAAGGAGGGAGATGAAATAAAAATGGACTCACATTCCATCGGTTTGTTCCCTAGGGCCATGATGTAATGGCACCAACACATCGGCTTTGATTTCTGGTTTTCCCTTCCCCCCCCTTTCTTCTGGTTCGGATTGCTAACTTTGACGCAATACCCAATTTGTTTTCACGAGACACTTACCACTGCGTTGCATAAAAGGTTTGCTGTTCCAATTTCTGCTCAGTACACGGCGCTCAGGCTCTACATTTGCAGAGAACGAGAAGGTGCTGCGGTTCCGATTTAATTGTTCAGTGGGAGAGTGGACACTATCGTTCGAGGTGGAGCTGTCAGGTTCGAGGTGGCGGCGTGCACCCCCCTTCCTCGGGTAGGGGCCCCTGGGTTTTGCTTTAGCAAACCTGCCTTCCCGCTTCTCATTCATGAGAGTCCTGGTGACTGACTCAGGTAGTTCCACGAGCGGAGCTCGGCCCCGCAGATGCGCGGGCTCTGGAGCCCGGCTCTGGGGCAGAACAACAGCTGTTCACTTTCCTGACAGCTGCCGAGCCCCCGGATCTGGCTGCGTGAGCTCCAGAGTTTCTCTGGTCTCTGAGCATCCTCAGATTTGCATTTTCAGCATTTCCAAATCACTTCCAAGAAATCCAAGTTTGCCTCGTAAGTTATTTTGAATGTGTATCTTACAGCCAAAAAGAATAAAAAAAACCTAGCTGATATACTGGAAAACATTTTATTTAAAAATACAAAACACAACAGAGTAGCTATTGAGTATTGCCCAAACAGATGTCCACCTGAGGTACTATGTGATGTATTGAGTACCAATCTTTAGCAAACATCCCAGAATTTACAACTTCTAACAGAGCTTTCCTATTCTAAGGGTGTCTTGCTGGAAACATCTTTAGATATCTGATTAATACCTTTATTCTTTTTAATGCCTCTTCAAGCTAAGGATGATTTACTGATTTACTTTTAAATCTTTTCTCTCTCATGTTCCACTCTCTTTACTGTCAACAGAGTTGCAATATTATTTTATTTCAAAGCATATTTCTTTTCAAAATAAGATGTCACATTATGAAAATTTTCTTTTCTTTTTAACAACTTGGCACTTTAGTGCTTCAAATTATCTGTGCACTCATGATAATGAGAAATCAATCTTCTTGCCCAAGGCTAACCAATAGAAATGTAATGTGAGCCATGGATGCAATGGTTAATTTCCAAGTAGCCAGGCTAAAAGGGTAAAAAGAAACAGCTGAAATAAATGTGAATAACATATTTATCTAACGCAATACATCTAAAATAACATTTCAATATGAAGTCAATAGGAAAGTATTAACGAGGCCTGGCCGGTGTGGCTCAGTGGTTGAGCATAGACCCATGCGCCAAGGTCGCCGGTTCAGTTCCCGGTCAGGGCACATGCCCAGGTTGCAGGCTCAGTCTCTAACAGGGGGCAGGCAGGAGGCAGCGTATCGATGTTTCTATCTCCCTCTCCCTTGCTCTCTTCGTAAAAATCAATTATAAAAAAGCATTAGTGAGATAGTCTATGTTCTTTTTAAAAGAGGTCTTTGAAATTCCAAGATTTGGGTCCCAGGGTTTTATTTTAGCTGTTTTGTTGCTGTTACTTGTTAGCTTTTATATTCTTTTAAGTATCAGGGGTTTTGTCCTGGGATGCAGTTAGGTGACTTGGAACCATTTCATTCTTTTGAAGTTTGCTTTTAAGTTTTTCAGGGTGGGCACAGAACAGCCTTTGGTGTGGGCATAATCGGAACCTCACTACTGAGCCAGTGCCCTTCTGAGGACTCAGTCTGATGCTCCCTGGATGAGGAGGCCTTTCCACCCTGGGTAGTGGGAACACAAACTCTTTTGGCCCTGTGAGCTCTGGGACTGATCGTCTACTTCTTCCTGGTGGTTCTTCTGGTCCTTTCCTGATACATGTACGCAAATCGGTACTCAACCAAATTGTCCATCTGATGGGACCCCTCGGCCCATCTGGTCTCCACAGTGCCCCCTCTCTCAGACCACAGGCTCTCTCTGGGCTCCCCTCTCCTGTGAAGGCACTGAGCTGGGGCCTTTACTGGCTTCTCTCTCAGGAATCAGTCTAGCGTGCCTGCTGTCCAATGCCTGGAAACTGTTGTTTCATGTACTTTGTTCAGCTTTGAAGGAAGGTCAATCAGGTTCCTGTGATGGCCCAAAAGATGTAAAAACTTGATCTCTGTCCATTTACTAAATATTTCCTGAATGCCTCCTGTGTACGAGGAGCTCTGCACAGCTCTGCGGTTATGCTTTTGAACTGAAAGAGATACAGCTCAGCCCTCGTGGTCACCACAGACCGCGGGGAAGAACAGTGGTAACTGAGTAATAATTCAAGTAAAGATGCAGTAGGAGCCCTGACAAGGTGATAGGAGAGAAAGCAGAGTGCTGTGGATGCATGCGACAGGGAGACCTGATTTCACCTCTGCCATCAAGAAAAGTTTCCCAAGATAATGGACATTTTAAGCGAGATTTAGGAAATAAGGCAGATTTGGTAACTGTGTTGTGCAGGATGAGAAGACTGATAAGAAGAATAGCATATGCAAAGGGCCTGTGGCAGGATTGTACCATTAGAGGTCAAGTCCAGCCCTTAGACTTTCCAAAGAAGACACAAAATTTGGGAGTTTGAACCAGAACTCCTATCTCCATGTCCAGTGTTCTCTCCATTTCACTGTGTTGCTAAGTGAATGTAGAGAACACTGGAACATTTAATATAATGACATTGTCATTTTATGGTCCATGACATATTATGGGCAATACATAATTTTGCAACATACTGTCATTTAAAAATAATTATGGCCAAAGTGTCATTCAAAATATACTTTCAATTGTCTATATTTTTAATGTATTTACAAGAACTATGCTGTAAAGTGTAAATTAATGTACAAGAGAGCACAAGACAGCCCTAGCCANAAGTGTAAATTAATGTACAAGACAGCACAAGACAGCCCTAGCCAGGTTTGCTCAGTGGTTAGAGCATTGGCCTGTGGACTGAAGGGTCCCGGGTTCAATTTCGGCCAAGGGCATGTGCCTTGGTTGCTGTGGGAGGCAACCAATCGATGTGTCTCTCTCACATTGATGTCTCTGTCTCTCTCTCTCTCTCTCTCTGAAAAGCAATGAAAACAATAGCCTCAGTGAGGATTAAAAAATAATAATAAAAATAAAAGAATTTATTTAAAAAAAAAAAATCACAAGACAGACAAGAGTAAACACACTCAGCGGCTGAAGCAGTGTCATAGTGTCCCTGGGGACTCGCACAGCTCCCTAAGTGGCTGAATCACACTTGGGAGATTCTCGCTCAGCGGTGGGACCTCTTAGTGCTCTCAGACATTCGGGGAAATGCATCATTGCTCCATTCCAAGCTTAATTGGCATAATAAATGTCGATTAAAGATCCTTTAAGATTTTAAACGGCCAAACTCAAGTGAAACTCTGTGTGATAGACTCACAAAGGACTTGTCCATGTGAAGTCTCTCCTACCGAGACGGTGCATTTCCATCTCCCGTGGGCCCAACCGTTGGTGACATGGACACACACATGTGCATTTGCACAGAACAGAAAGTCACTCTCCCCAGCTATGGTAGACGCATCGCTCTTCAATGGCTTATAAACGGTTATATGCTTTATACATGAACAAACTTCTGTTTCCTGTTAACAAATACAGAGGGAGCACTGGCTATGTCTCAGGACTGGGGTTAAGTGGGGAGCAAGGCAGAGGCCCCCCTGTCATGCAGGGGGGTCTCCCTAGATGCCACCTGGAAGCCCCTTTCCCCCCCTGCTTCTGTCTGACGTGACTCCTTTCCTTAACTTTTACTTAGGAGGCTGAAAAGACAATTACTCATCCAGTATAAATATAAAACAGGGTCTCTGTTAACTTCTGAACTTGGCAAAAATATTTTTTTATGTCCTATGTACAGCTCATTGATTTAGGTGTGAAGAAAGTTTTGTTTTAATTTAAGTCGCCCAAGCTGCCAACTGTTTGATGTCGTCGTCTTCTTCAGCCCTCCTGGAAGATGCTGGAACATAAAATGGATACAAATTAGCAACTGGTGACACTCACACTTTAGCATAGAAAACAGGTATGAATTATGTAGAAAAATGTGTATATTTATGGAATAAAAAGCAAGTGCTAACAGGGACACAGGCCAGGCTATTATTTTGGGCAATTGTGTGCACACACGTAGCGGAGGGGACACACCTGCTCGGGTCCTCTGCACCGTGGACGAGGTGCCCGGCACTCTACCTGATGGCCTGTCTGGCTGTGCCGGGAGGGAGGAGGGAGGCACACTTGGAAGTCGGACATCTGTCATCTTCTTATTTAATTCTTCCTGCTCCAGCTCTTCCAGCTCTGCCATCAGCTCATCCTGAACACAGCAGGAAGAAAGAATTGTGGAGTTAGCGTGGCGAGCACTGGGTTCCCTCAAACACAGGAACAAGCACATCTACTGCCCAGTTGATATGTGAGAACCAAGTGAAATGGAATATTTATTTTAACACTAAGTCTTTTTTGCAACACTGAGCAATGATTAAAAATGAATATTTTGGGTTGTTCAAATTTGTCGTAGCTAATCTTATAATACTTCGGTAAACTGTTATTCGAGTAATTTGTGCTAGCTGAATATAACACCTCCATAGTTTCTAGGAAATTTACACCTTGCCTGTCTTTTTTCCAATGCATCTTTTCTTTTCTACTGTGAAAAGTTAAGAATCTGCGAGCCCGGCTAGTGCTGCTCAGTGGCTGAGCATCGACCTATGAACCAAGAGGCCAATGGTTTGATTCCCAGTCAGGGCACATGCCGGGGTTCTGGGCTCGACCCCCAGTCGGGGGCGTTCAGGAGGCAGCCGACTGACAGTGTTTCTATCTCTCTAACTTTCCCTTCCTCTGTTNGCACATGCCGGGGTTCTGGGCTCGACCCCCAGTCGGGGGTGTTCAGGAGGCAGCCGATTGACAATGTTTCTATCTCTCTAACTTTCCCTTCTTCTCTCTCTAAAAATCAACAGGAACATTAAAAAAAAGAATATGCGAAACCTTAATTGGTGGAAATAAATATTTTCACTTGGGTTAATGTTATTAAAAATAAGTGACAGGTATGGCAAAAGCACACGTGCAGAAAGTAAAAAGAATCACAGGTACTTTGAGTCCTTTGTTAAATTACTAAAGCCCATACGTGTTTGGGTTAAGTAAACTTCAACCCAAGGTAGGCACACTGTGTTTCTTTCTTTTAGCAATAGCCTCAGAGTCTGGGTTAATCCTTAACTACTCTCTGTCCCAAGAACCTTAGATTCGCAAGGCTAGTTGGAGACTTTGAGTGTAAGTTGCCTCTGACAGACAGATGACTTGTGGTAGAACAAGTCTACTGGGCTCCAAGGGTCCTCAGGTAGAGTCCCCTGAGAGACGCCAAGAGTCTAAACTAAATTTGCCATCATTATAATTCTGAGTTTGTCCCCATTAGAAATGACCTAAGACACTCTCATAATTAACCAAGGAAAGTCTTCATTTATGGATTCATGCATCATTGAAGAAATCGATTGAGAGCTCACTCCTGGCCAGATATGGAACTCATATCTGGGGGTGCAGAGTTCAACCAACAGTCCCGACATTATCCTACATTAAAATGAGAGAAATAATACTAGAGACCAAGAGAGGAGGTATGTAAGCCAACTGCAACATTTGATCATGACAGTGTGGATCAGGCAGGAAGCCAGATGAAGGACTGTCCAACCACTGTGAAATCTACTTCATGGAAAGGAAACGAAACAGGAAAGTACGTGTGGAATAGTGTGATCCGCAGAGCTGTGTGCTTTATGGTTATCCACGGGCTATGTGAATAGACTGTCCGGAATGATTACTCTAGTGCCCTATCTCTGCTCTAAAACAATCAGGAACAAATATAGTAAATGCAGTCATAGCAGAACACACTGTGCTACACGGAGCACGGGCCCAGAATTGCCCGGAGTGCTTGGTAGTTATCGACAGCACTGCACAGATATTGATATTTTCGGTAGCAAATAGGATGACAGGATCATCACCTCCTCCCTCATTTTCAGACTTCAGGTACACAACACTTATTTGTTCATTGATAAAAGAATTTTAGAATTTAAGAAACTTTAGAGATAAGCTAGTGAGCCAGTCATGTTCATTTTATAGATGGGAAAACGAAGGGTCAGGAAAGTGAAGGGACTTCCAAAGGTAACAAATGCAGAGCCCCAACGTCATGAGCCCGGGGCCCTATGGTGCCTGTTAGTCTAACCAGGGTGGGCAAACTTCAAAAAGCCACACAGCATTAATTTAGGCTTAGCAGCCCCCACATGGTCTCCGCAACAGCCTTCTCTGTTGCTATTGTTGTTGATGGTGTTGTTTTCTGCAATTCATTAAACAGACAAAAACAGGCCTGGGAAGGATTTGGCCTGAGAGCCAATTTTTCCAACTGTTGAACTACACCATTTTTAAAAGTTGTTGATGCCCAAGTTTCATTTTCTCGGATCCCGTGGAACTACACCTTCCTTGCTAGATGTTACGTCTTTATTACCAGGCAGATGCAGGAGTCAGAGTCCTCGCTGTGCTGCTCTGAGAACTGGAAACGTCTCCACATCTGTACTAGTTGGTGTGTGTGCTGTGAACAGAACAATGGGAATTCCCGGGAGACGCCACCACTCTAAGGAGAGTCTGTCTTAGTGGACTGATGAATCCAAGTGGAATGTGTGTGCTGACAATGCCCATCCTCATTTACTTTGTTTCATAGCCTAACCTCCGATTTCACAACCACAGGGCGTGCCATGTCCGTGCCTGCAGGCCGGCGGCCTGTTTGCTCTGCCCAGATGTGCAGGCGCTTGCCCCTCCTGGTAATGGGCTAGTTAGGCTCCACCTCTGAAAGCCTCGAACTCCCAGAACCACGGGCTGCTCTTCCTTACTAGCTAGAAGCTTAATTAGGGGGCTTTTGCAAAAGTGTATTAACCTTTCCTTTAAATCGGAGCTCCCAACACTTCATTTCCCTCTTCAGGATGTTTCTAGCAAGTATCATTTACTCTTTGATGATACTTAAGGAAATATATAGGGAGCCCTGTCTGCTGGGGATGGCGGGAAGCTGTCCTTTTCAGCACATGGCGCTCCATTCTTTACACCGCGTCACCCACCTCATCAAAGTCATCGCCAAATCCAACCCGCTGAGAAAAGGCTTCTGAGATTTCTTGGGCGACATCCTGTTGCTCTGTGATTTCTTGCATCAAATCATCTATTTTGTTCAGGTCCCTGGGAAGTAATATTTTGTGGAAACATTTTAGAATCTTTAAAGTTATGTATTTAGATATACTCCCACCTGAACAGAAATGAGTCAATTTAACATAAACTCTTAGTTATTTCTGCAGGGTAACAAAAATTCCCAATAATAATGTATATCAACTTTAAAGATAATTTGCATTTCAAAAAAAAGAATAATCCTGTAGAGGCACATGTATCTTAAATATTAAATAAATAGCCATTACATTTGGGAGTCACTAACGAGCAAATTATTTTATAATTTACAATATTTGTAGACCCATTTTGAAGTTTTGTCTGGTAGGGCATATGCAGAATTTAAATATACGCGACTGTGTATCAACTCTGCAGGAAATGGTGCCGCGGGCCCCAAGGGACCACCACGACTGAGAGGAGCCAGGCAGCTCTCAGCCGCCGGCACCTCCAGCAGCCCTTCGTGGAAGCTGAGTTCTGGAACAAGGGGCCGTTTTCCAGAATGCCTGGCAGCTCTGAGGTCCTGACTCCCCGGGGCTGTCCCAGGAGGACCTGCTCTCCTGGGAGATTACGGGTGAAGGCGAACGAGGCCTGGGAAGCCCTCAGAAGAATCAGCAACTTCAGCCAAGGCGTCTGGTAGCCACAGGCCCAGGCAGACAGCTGCTTCAAGGACAGTTTTTAGCCCCTGAGCCCCACTGGCCCCCGACCACCAACCTGAGCTGTCAGAGCCCGAATGCCAGGATCTGGAAAGCATCTGAGTCGTACCCCCAGCTCTGAAACTAGGCCAAACTGATCAGATACCAGAAAATGACAAGTTTCCTCCTTACCAGGCAACCTAAACACTGACATTTTGATTCCCAGTGGAATAAATCTTTGGAAAGTTCCCCAGACTCTCTACGTGGAAAAAGCTGAGTATCTTCACATATTATCATGTAGCTGTGAAAAAGACCCACTTTACCATTCTCCTACCACCACTTACTTCCAATTCTTATGTTTATGATAAATATATAAGGAATTCATCTTTTAAAGGGAGAATGGGAAAGGTGCAGCTGAAGTTTGGGCCGGGGTGAATTTTTCTCAAAAGGACCACAAGGGATGGTACCGCCAAAGCACCGTGATGTTGTGCTGCACGTCAGCACCAGCTTATAGCCACGGCAGAGGATTGTGACTCTGAGAGCGAATGGAATGATCTTTCTGAAGCTGTCAAAATGATGGTGGATCGTCAATGAGTTATCAAGGCAAGAAAATGTGAGCAAAGGTGTCTTCGCCTTCCCCAGCCTGCCCCTGGTCCACCTTCCCCACCCGTGGAAACATCTCTGCATCGCTCAGGTGCTCACCGATCTCATGCTTGGTGGCCCAGATCTCACTGTCACATTTACTCTCAGAAAACGGCCAGGTCCCAGGTACCGACTTCCGAGTGTGAACGTAAAGCTAGCAGTGGCTAGCTCCACCACCGCATTGAATACGGATTACTTACTTTATGCCAGGAACTGACATATGCCAGGGACTGTCTGGCACCTCAATGAATGTCACGATAACCACAGGGAGTATTATTATCTCCAGTTTACAGACAAGGGAACTGCACACAGGTGAGGCAAAGTCATTTGTCCAAGTACAGTCGGCCATGCAACTGGGACTATAACCCAGAGAGTTTGACCCCCAAATCCATGCCCATAGCTATGATTCTGTCGATGGCTCCCATCCAGTGGGTAGAATCAGAGTCACCTGGGGAACCTGGTTAAAGACAGGAAGGGCCAGTCCCTACCCTTCTTCAAGGAGCCTGGGCATCTGAGGTCTCGTTAGTCGCTTTCCCGGTGGCCCTGAGTCCCACCACAGTTGGACAGCCACTGTTCTGTAGCCTAACACGCTCACAGATGCTGACATTTAAAGCTTTTTTAAATTATATAATGAAAAGTTACAGGTGGAGTGTCAGACAATAGCGAGGCAACTGGGGAACCTCAAGGGTGAAATGAATGTCCCTCGTGTTTTCAAGGTTTGGTTTTGTTTTCTGCCACTGTGCCTTCTAACCTTTCTCGAAGGACCATTCCATTCTGACGTGTCCTCAGAAGGACAAGCCCATTCCTGCCGAAACCATCCTACGGCTCTCGCGACTCCGAGGGCGTCTGTGGCTCAGGGGGACACCGGGCCACTCACATGTTCTCGTGGACCGCCCTCATGGCCCGGGCCGCCAGGCCCATGTTCCTGAGCACCTCGGCGTTGGTGTGCGAGTTCTCCAGGGCCTCCCGCTGGAACTCGATGGTGGACAGGGTGCCGTCGATCTGCGTGAGCTGCTTCTCAAACCTCTTCTTTCTCTTTAGTGCCTGCAACGCAGCTAAATAAGGGAGAAGCCACGTTTATAAGGAGAGAGCACAATCACTTACTCAAGAGACACTGGCTCAGCACCAACTGGGGACTTGGCACTGTTGGTACCTACGGGCAAGAGGAGACCAGGCAGAGTGGAGAAACTCAAGGTGGCGTCTGTGCCTCCATCGCCAGGCCCTCAAACATTTTCAATGTTATTCTTTTTTTCCCAAGACCTGGCAAGTGTCAGAGGATGGAAGTCCACTTTCACATTCCATAAAATAGACCAGAGAAACTGGATTAAAAAAATAGGCATAAAAATGTGAGTAGAAATCACGCATTAGAAAAATAAAACTTCAGAGGGAGAAAGGTTTTTGATGACTGTTTATTCTAGCCCTGCTTCCTTATTTCAAAGACAAGTTCATGGAGACCTGGAGAAGTTACATGACTTGTTTGAAGGTAAACAGTGAGCAGCCGTCCAAAACCCAGGACGCCGAGCTGCATGTCATGGTCACAAATGACTATGGGCTGGCCAGTAAGGTTAGACCGAACTACGAGAGCCCATGAAGGCGTTGCCCTCAGAGAAATGGTATCTAAGCACCCTGCCATTAGCACTTGAACAAAATAACCTTATTAGCTCCATTCAGAAATCACAAAACTAACAGACTTCTTTTGACTATGACCTTGGAAGGCGCCCAAAAACAGGCCCTAAAATGTGATTTGTGATAAGGCATTTGGAGCGAGTACAGGAAAAGAGCAGCCAAGGGATGTTGCTATGAAGCTAATTAATGGAATTGGCAAAAGAACTCAAATAGGTTAATGGTTTGGGAGTGAAATGTAAGTTTTCCAACAGATTTCTGCGAGGCTCTTTTCTAACTCAGTTTTGGTCAATTTTTTCTTTTAATTCCAATAGGTTTGGTTTATCTGTTCCAATGCTTTTTGTTTGGTGCACAGAGGCCCATAGTCATTGTACTTTCTTGTTGGGTTTTATTGGGGATCAACACGAAACATTACTCTCTGTCCCATTCATCCTTTTTGCCTTAAATTCCATTCTGTTTTTTATTTAAGTTAACATTCTAGCTATCTTTTTGTTATAATTTGCCTCTAATAATTTTATGGGAACCTCTATTTCAAAAGTGTTTTATATTTGCTCTTTTTCAGTTCACTTACTACAGGTAGTATATAGTTGGGTATTTGTGTGACTGTTTATAACCCGAGTTTATCTTATTCTGATTTATGGTGATAACTGATATGTCATTTTTGGTGTGTTTTCTTTGTTATATTTTTTGTTTTCTTTTCTTTATGTAGATTATTCAAATTTTCTTTGTACATTTTCCCCTTTAATTTGTTGGACAGTTACATATACTAAATTTATTCTCCTAATGAATACCTCTGTATTTAAAATATACACATGCAACTAAACTTAAGTTTTCTATTCATGTTAAAAATTAATCAGTATATAATTTATTGTTCCCTAAAAGATTCCTTTCCCACCCCAAACCTTCCCATGTTTGATTAAAATAACCTGCAATTTTATTACTTCTAGATGATTACTAGTTGTTTTTTATTATCTTTTTAATTTTTCAGGAAATTTTTCTTAGCAATTGCATTAAGCTTGATAGACACAATTTCAAAAGTTATTTGCACTCAACTATAATGTTTGCTGATTTATTTGCTTACTATTGCTTCTGTTTCCTACATTGTCCTTTCTTGGATTATTATTTTTTTTATTTTATCAAAATAAATCTTGGAAGTTGTTTTTTTTCCAGAAAGGGTGCATAGATATAAATTCTCTAAATTTATATAGGTCTGAAAATGTCTTCATTTTGTTTCAAACTTGAATGATAGTTTGAATTTTTACAGAATTCTAGGTTCAGAATATTTAAAAATTTCTAAGACACTATTCTATTGTTGTTGGGTAGCCAGTATTTCAAAATTTTGATAGTAGCGTTCCTCTCATCTCTTTGTAGATAATCTGTTTGCTTGTTTCATCTCTGCAAATGTTTAAAATTTTCATTTTTAACTTGGACTTAGAAAATTTTATGAGTATAGGGTTAGGCACATGCCTTTTTTTTCTTTTTTCAAGTAAACATTCATTAGGTATTTTTATTCTGAAGAGTCAGATCTTCCTTTGTCTTATGGAAACTGTATTCCTTAATTTATTACTTCTTTCCCCTCCATTATTTCTACTTTCTTCCGAAATTCCCATTCATTGTTATATTATTATCCACACCATGACCCCGCCCAAACCATTCTCTGCTTCTCTCCTTTGAAATCCCTATACACTGGGTGCTAGGTGCCTTGGGTCTGTTCTTCAGTCCATCAACATATCACTCGTTTTGTTCTGTGTGCTGGGAGAATTCCTTAGCTTTATATTCCAGATCACTAACGAGTCCTCAGCTCTATTTATTCTTTTCTTATACCCTATTTATTTTTAATTATGTTTCTAATTCCTAAGAACTTTTTCATCTAGCTGTTCATTTATATGGCAGCCATTCTTGTCTTATAACACAGTAGTCTCTGGAGCCTCCCTGAAGATGCTAATGCAAGCTTTGTTTTTAACATTTTTTTATTTCTTACGTTATCTCTCTTCCCTTGGGTTCAGCTGTTTACTTTGCTTATCTTGATGCTTCTCTTTCAGGCAATCACCTTTCCTCGAATTCTTCTGATCTTGTGTTATAGGCTCATATGTATAAATGAACGACTAGAATAGTCAGTCTGCGGAGATGGGCCTCTTGTAGTTACATAAGTGTGTTCCCATGGGCCTCTCTCTGGAAAGGGAAGGCTGCCCACGGCTCTGTAGAAGGATTGGGGTGTGCCAGAGGGCAGGCAGTCTTCAGTGGGCAGGGAGCAGGCAGACAGGCTGGGGGTTCCTACAGTTGCCAAAGAAGGGCTTTCATATGAGTGGTGGACACTTTTCTGAGCGGTAGCTTGTCTTCCCCACCCCTCCCTGGCCCATGGACTGCGGAGGCTCTGCCCTGCTTCCCTCTCCAGATGTCACACCACCGTTTAAGTTCTTGCTGAACAGCACTTACACTTTATTTATAGAACAGTTTCTATTTGTTTAACCTTTCCTCTAGGAAAGAACAAAAACAATTTTTTTTAAAGTCATCTGGCTTAAACGCCTTGCTACAATCTCACTCTGCGGAGAGGCTCCTGGAGCTAGTGATCAGAGCTGTGAGGGTTTTCTCCCCACACAGGGCGATGGCCAACTGGCCCCCGGAGCTAACACCCCACCTGCAGCCGTCCCCAGTGACTGCTGCATGCACCACACTGCGTAATAGTTATCTGTAAACTCTATTCCACTCCACCTCCCCCACACTAATTACAAGCCCTTGGAGGCAAGATTCTATTCTCTGGTTTCCCCCGTCCCTAGCACAAAATGCATAACCAAAACCAGTGTTGATTAGCATTTGCTGTGTGCCAAGCCCATGTGCTTTATGTGATTTATGTCATTACTCTCACAAACTCCAAGAGCAGATATTATTACTGTCCTACTTTACAGAAGATGAAATGAGTGAACATTAAAATGAACAAATAGGGTAATTTTGTGCACATAGTATAATGACAACATGGTATAATAGAAAAAGTATGGTGTTCAAGGCCAGAGTGGGGATCCTTCTTCTATGACTTGGTAGATGTGTGCTCTTGGCTAAGTCACTTCCCTGCTTTGAGCTCCAGTTTGCCCTCCTGGAAATGGCGATGCAATCCCCATCAGGCTGGGTGACGTTTAAGAATTAAAGATAACTTATGGAAAACACTTTATACAGTCCCTGTGCATGGTAGGGTTTTGGCAACTAGATATTATTATTAATAACAGCGATTTACATAACATTCATTAATGAGACTGTGTACCTTATTTCTGAGACCACTGAGCAACAAGTTACCTGCTCTTTTCACCATAGCTCACCCTGACAGGAACATAATATTACGGAAACAGCTCCACACTTCAATAGGTACAGTACATAATGCTCTGTGAAAGACTCTCCTAAGAAGCTAAACTCCAAATACCTGTCTCCACCCACGATACTCAGAAGCGGAATGTTTGAAGCGTGTCTCCTCCCAGTCTTGTCAGGCTGGCTCAGTGTCTACACTTGTTTGGAACCTACTGACACAAAAGAATTTTCCTTTTTTTTTTTGAGAAAAATGTTGAAGTTTTCCACTAAAAAGTATGCCACATTTCCTAATAGGAACTAATTTTAGATTACTTTCTGAAAATCAAGAAATTCAATCTGCTAGAAAGGAATACGCTTTGGAGTCACCAGATCTATATTTCAATCCAGCCTCTACCAATGAAAAACTGTGCCCACTGACCTCGGCCTGGGACCCTCACTCTTCTTAAGTGACTTCTCCCATTTGAATCACAACGATATCAATGATGTCTAGACGACAACACTGTCCTCTGGGGTCAGGTTGCGTACTTTCAAATCCAGGCTCCAACTGTCCAAGGCTCTGAGGCCTCCCTAAGTCGCTTACTGGAGAAACGGAGGTATAACTCATTCGGGTGTTGGGGCTCACCTGAAATAACATGTGAAGCGTTCAGTGCGGTGCCCGGCACACAGCGAGTGACTGCTGAATGATAGGGAATTCTGATCACCCCTCATCTCCTCCACAGGGCTGTCAGAGCCTCGGGTGGGAGCCCGTGGTATGGTGCCCACTCTTGCAAATGTGTGTTATTAATAATAATCAGACCTGGGTTGGGCACAGTTTTAAATGCTTATGTTAATATATGGTTTCTGCCCTTCAAAATGTTTGGGAGAAACTAGAACGTTCACCCAGAGTTGAGATTTCAACTTACACTATAATTACCACACCCCAAACTACAGAGCGGCCTCCAGGGAGCCAGGCAGGTAGCTCGGGGAAAGGACACGGAGAGGGGTAGGGAAATGGCCTTCTTTGTCTTTCACCGGTGAGACGGAGACACAGAGGAAGGTTTCTCTGCTATGACAATAGAAGATCGTGCAAGGGTGACGATAAACGGCAGTGACAGAGGCCCCAGTACCAGGAGCCCACAGGAAGAATGGGACGTGA